TTTTTTTTTTTAACACATATGTACCAATTAATTATTTTTATCGTAATATATATTTGTTTTCCTGAAACACAAATACGTTTGGCATTGTGCTATGATTATGAAGCAATATTATATCCTGATAAGAATACTGCTAAATGTATTGTTGTGACTTTTGCGATTAGTCGTTGCATATTGTATATACGAGTGGAAGTTACTAATGTCTCGTATCATTGCAATTGACAATATCATTAATCAAAATCACTTGTTTTAACATTTTGATTATTATTATTATTATGATTTAAAATTTATTATTATTAATTTATTATTATTAATTATTAATTTATTTTTATTATTTATTATTATTAACTTATTCTTCAAAATTTTGAACAATGCATAATTATCAAACTCTTATGATGTAATCACTGCGAAATGTCGCGAAATTTAAATAAATTATAATAAAATTGTGCATTTTATCTTATTTTAAGTCTAGTTTACTGTAATAGAGTATTAGGAAAATTGTTATATAATCATATTCAAAGAAGAATAAAGATCTTCGCCATCTTCGATGAAAAGAAATCTCTACATTGCTGAAGGATGCCGCGTTTTTTTAATTTTTGCTACGAGATATGCGCTTAATAATAACTTGTTATACATATGAGAGGGGGGAGCACATTACCACAATGTATTTGTGTGCAATCGATAACTCACACTACGTCAGGGTCAGGATTACTAAACCGTATATCCTGTATATGCGGTTCTGACGCATTTTTCCTTTTTATATCTTTATAATTAATCACACATATCTACATATCTCTTACTTAACATTTTCAAGTATACAATAAAATAAAAAAAAAGAGAGAATTAAACAAATTTTAAATTAATATATGTAATAAAGAAATTAATTTAATACCTCATGTTTAATTGCAAAATATTAAAATCAATGAGAAGGAAAAGAATTTCATGGAAAAAGATTTACATTGTAACATCTGTCTTTGCGCGATGAGGCTTAATCGACAGACAGTCGATCTGGCAATTGAATTATGACTAATTTGCGCAACTGATTTGCGATATAAATAGATTGCAATGCGTTTATTACCGATTATTCTCGTTACTTGCCGATACACTCTTCGACCAGCGATATCAAACACAAGGATTTGACATAAGAGCGCTCAACAAACACAGCTTATTCGTTTTTCTTTCATTTTTTTATTTATGTTTTTTATAAGATCATCATTTTTCCCATGGATAGACATAGGAGGCATAGATAAGTAGAAATATTTATTCATTATTTACTCGAAAAATTATTTATCGGCGTTCTTAATATTTTTGTTAAAAAGAAATCAGTTTTAGAGCGACCGAAATTTTAGGACAGTCGCTCGTGAGTTCGTTCACACTATACTAATCTAGATCCGGAATAATATCATCATAGTGTGGAGGGTGCGAGTCACTAAGATCAAGTTGGCTGACTTCCAGGTCTCCTTTAAAGAGAGATACAGACGAGAAAAACAGACAAAAGCAGTCACTTCAAAGACTGCCCGTGATATAATTAATCAACAGTCTGAATCAGTATTCTCATTCCTTTTTATTTTTTTTTTTGTTTAAATTTATTTGGAAAGATTTTTTATCGGCTGTTTTATTGAGAATTTATTTTATATTTACATAATGTGAGTTAAAAATTATTTAATACAAGTTATAAATCGTATTTTGATAAATCCAAAATTTGAATTTATTTTTGCACACATTTGAAAATACGAAATTTAAAAGATTTGTGTACAAAAAAACTTATTATAGAATTTATTATTGACAATATAAATTATAGTTTTAATTTTATTTATTATAAAGTATTTTACTCCGACACATTTAAATATCTTACGCACGTGCCACGTGCTCTCTCCTTCGTCACCACTCCATTCTTCTTATTATCATATCTGTTCTTCGAAGACATGTACACGCGGGCGCGTCTGCTTTTCACGTGTGCTGCGTGTTTGTGTATTGTAATGATATTATGTTCTTGTAGCAGCTAAATATAGCAAATACTCTCTAATCTTCGTTCAAACATACGTGATATCGACGCACTCGTTTTGCTCGAGAAATGCGAGATTTAAGCATCCAATTCTTTTTATATTCCAATATATATTCATATTAGTTCCTTTTCTTTTTGTACAGTTTCTTTGAGAATTTTTCTTTTATCGAAAAATTAAAAATACTAATTATGAATATTGAAAAAACCAATTTTCGAAAAATGCGTTTGATATTTTAATAAATCCCAAAACTTTTATACGAATAATAAAACTTTCCAATGAAAATATAATTTTATAAAAACTAAACTATTCTATTTATTTTTATCTAAATTAAGTTTTTTTTATTTTTTACATCTAAAAAATATACTTATTTATTAAAATATATGTTTTCGTAAACTTGTTTATATAATAAATTAAACGAACTTGATATCGAACTATTGTAATAGATTACTTATTAGATGATTTTATATGGCGCTCGTCAACTCATCAGCTGTGATCTCAGATAGGTTGCGGATAAAATTTCTACTTTTTCCGGTCTAATAAACGTCACGTGAAACAATCTTATAAATTTTTTCGCGATTTTCTACGTCGTAGGATTGAGAAATCTTAAAAAAAAAAAATGAAAATATTTCAACAAATTATCACGTTTACAAGACGTTTACAACATTGTAAAGAAAAAATACCGAGGAAATGTAAATTAATTTTTCCTGTAACAGTCTCTGTTAAGTAACTTTTGCGAACAAAGGAAGTGTTGTGTGTGTGAAGGCATTATATTTTTTATTATTGTTATATAATTTAATTTTTCGGAATAATTTTAAATTCTTTTATCATATAAAAACAAAAAAGAATATTTAAAAAAATTTTGAGATATATCTATATGTAGTATAAAGTATTACGCACATACATACATATTGAATATCCGTAATTGTGACTCGCATTCATGTCCAACATATAACGCATTTAATGCAGAAAGAGCCTCTTTGGTGACGTTATCGTGAACTGACAATTATGTCAATACGTTAAATGTAGAACGGGAATTAATTCGCTTTTGTAAATTCGATTTTGATCTAAGATATCAGTTCTGTCGAATAAAATTCATTCGGTGTTTACTAGAAATCGATTCTAACTAAACGTATCTTTTTATCTATTACCATAGTACCGTTTCTCAAGCCGTTTGCCTTATTTTATCTTATTGATAATTAAATCGGCAACACGAATTCGTAAGATGAATGAAAGTCGAGTCTAACAACTCGAAATTCTCGAATTCTCACATTTTAAATTCTAATTCATATTGTTCACACAAAGTTCTCGACCTTAATTTTCATTCAGTTCCAAGATTTCTTTAAAATCAAGGTGTCCATATCCTGAAAAAACATGGAGAACTTGAAACTCTCAGGGATTTCTTTTTTATTTGGAAAAATCAGAAAATTCTCATGGAATTTTATTTGTACACAGAAAATTTTTTTAAAATTCTCTCTTTGATAATTTTGCTCTTATATTGTTAGCAATCGGCAAGCCACGTGAATTATGTATTTAAATACATATATATCTATCTCTTTGTTTATATATTTTTAATGTCCTTAACAAAATATTGCAGTACATATTTTTTTTTATTGCAATTTTTAGTGATAAAAAAAATTAAAATGTTATATGCAAGTGAAAAATGTTTATTTTACGAAAGTTATTCAGTTTTTTCAGTACATTACAAATCTAATAGTTGAAACTTAAGTGGCTTTATGTGTTTTCTTTGTATAAGTGAAGAGCATTAAAAAACACATACAATAGAAAAACTTATTTTAGAAAAAGTTGTATCAAAAAATCTTGAAAATATTCTCTTTACCTGATATTTTGAGCAAAAATACCTGAAAGGCCAGGGATTTTTTTTTTGACTAGACATCTTGAAGATTGATTTAATTTAAATTCAACTCACATTTATTTAGCCGAAGGTATATATTATATTCGAGCTTGCAAAGCAAGAGATAATTATATTAAAAATTCGAACTGCAATTCAAAATACAATTAATACTTATTACCGTAAAATATTATATTTTCTAGGGGAGAGAAGAGAATTGCGGAAAAGATTGGAAACTTTACAAAATATAGAAAACTATCTACTCTATATTTTTTTCTATCACACGTGTACTATATATTTTCTAGGGGAGAGAAGAGAATTGCGGAAAAGATTGGAAACTTTACAAAATATAGAAAACTTAGCCTCTCTACACTTTATTTATCTACTCTATATTTTTTTCTATCACACGTGTACTATGTGAATCATTATAAAATCATCCTTTTTATATTCCAAGACATAATAAATCTCATTTTATTCTGCTTCGTTCTGTCAAGATATATTAGGCGATAATTATTATACAAGATTATAATTATATGTATAGACAAAAATATCTTTAAAGTCAAGAGGTGCTCTCTTTCTCTGTGTGTGCACTCCCACCGCGTCGCCCTCAGCGCCTATCCTAAGTGACGGGCTCGATCAACGGCGCACTCGGCCTTAGTCGCGTGCCGTTAGTCCGTTGCGAATCAACGCAGTTGTTATATGTACGTGGAAGTCGGCACGGTCCGATTCGGCGGTGTCCCATTTCGCGAATCGCGCCGACATAGCGCGATGCGTATCGCTTCCTCGCTTACGTGATCCGCATCGCTTATTAAGCCATTGAAAAAACGCAGTTGCATAATGTAATGCTGATAGACGGATACGCTTTTTAAAAGTGAGAAAAGACAAAAGATTTCTTTTCGAATCGATTGGAATTAATAGGCGATCCTTTGAACAAGTGTATGTATATTGGACGAGGATAATCCGACCGATCTTTTCCGCGAAAAAATGTGAGAATATTGTGAGTGTAAAGATTAAATGTGAGATCGATACGATGGTTAACTGAATCCATTATTCTCATCAAAGAGCAAAAAAAAAATTGATTTTGAGAAAGTTTAATATTTCAACTTTTTATAAAGAAATAATAGATATATTAATTTCGTTAAATAAGAACGTGTATGCATAGAGATACACAAGTTACCAATCGTAAAAATCTATGCAAACTATTATTCATCGTGAAAAGAGAGAAAATAAAAATCTGAAACTTTTATAACTTATATATGTCATTAATTTAAGTATCAATAATTAATAATTTTTATAAACAATGCAGTGAAACGAGATTGATATTTATCGAATACCAAACATTGGAAGCAATCTATTATCGCGAGATAGTAATAAAACTTAAAAGGTTTAATAACACACACATACTGTATCATTAATAATTTTAATGTGAACAGTAATTTTTATAAACAATATGAAATTGTATATAAAGTATCACGTATATTATATTTGAAATCAAGTATGTAAAATATATATACATGTATACTGATTTCATATAAATATATATATAAACATATCAAAACACATTTTTATTTATCTAGTTATAGATATATAAAAACTCTATAAATATACGATTATAATTAATCTTTGAAATAAAAACATAGAACTTGGAATTATATAAGAAATAATAAACAGTACATCACACTAGTTCGAATGCCGATGATGATTTTTATGAACAGTTTTTGTGAATAGTGATCGACGATAAAATATATTGATCGTATGCAAAAAAATCGGGACAATCTGTAATTTCGGGGAACCCAAGATAGTACAGACAGTTATTGAATTTCGAGTAATCATCGATCCTACGAACATAACTCGAAGAAGGATCTATTGATGCAATCTCGATTCACAGATACAAGAACAAGTTCTGGAAAAAAAAAAGATCTATACCTAGATGACAAATATTTAAAAGGATTCGAGAATTCATAATCGGTGCCTAAATACATTCTATACAGAAAATCTAGAAGAATTATATACGTGATAAAAAATTAACAATTCCTTTCAAATGTAAAGTAAATTCCCTGAATGAAGAAGAAGCAAAAGAATAAGTCAAGATGAACGAGGTCTTACGAACTAAAGCGTGATGAATAACAGTAATAAAGAACTCTTATCTGTGATTTAAAACAAACATATGCTACAGAAAAAAAAAAACTAATAAAGAATTTAAAATAAAAATAAAATAAAAAATTAATATAATAGAAGGAAGAAACGAAACACACACCATATACAAATCTCTGTGTAAAAACAACAGAAGAAAATATCTGTGATGTAATAGTTATGAAGAACTAGTCGTGATCTAGTCTCACAATCTTTGAAAATTGAGTGAAACTCGATTTTAATTTCCTGTTTCGGGACAAAGAGACGGAAGAGAAGCAATCGTAAAATATCTCGGTGATCGATCGATTTTTTAATCTAAATCATGGCGCCGGCGAACAATCTCGACTGGTCAGAGCCGTGTCAGCAGTGGCGATACCCGAAAATCTTTCCGGCGACGACCGATCAGAAAAATGAGCGTCCCAAAAGTGCCGTGGAATTGAGTGGCAAAGAGGCAAACACCGCCTACAAAAAATTCTGCAAGTTTCTGCGCCGACTAGGCAACAGAAAACGTAAGTCCGTCCAGCGGTCGACATACTTCGAATGTTTGCACCATGTTATATACACTTTATAGTATTATACAGGATCACTTTCAAAAGTATTTTTAAATTTTACCAGATTATAAATTGCTATAAATTACTATGTAAATTATTATAAATTAAATTGCTATAAATTAATGTTCCTTTCTACTTTACTAAATTCTGCTATATAACAATTCATAGATAAAATTTTATACTGTTACAAAAATATTTATTAGTAGACTTTAAATTAATATAGTATTTGATTTCTATAAAAAGAAACTTAAATTTTTATATGATATATAATTGATTTCAATAATTAATAAAGTGACTAATTTGACAATTTTTTTGTGTTTTTATTTTACTAAATAAATGTTTAAAAAATTTTTTATTTTTTAATAATATACTTTGTTTATTTATTCGAATTTTCTATAACTTGGTTTTCACGTAATTATGCTTTGTTAACACACACACACACACACACACACACACACATCGAATTAATTTATTAATTTTTCGTTTTATTATACTAGAGTTTTTCTATTACTATATTATTATTTATTATATATTTAAATCTTCCTTGATGATGATTCTGATACATCCTACATTCTCATCCTACATTCTCATTTTATCAAAGAAAATCAATACGGTCTTTATCTTCTCATGGCAAAGAAAAAAAAGGATTCGCTGCTCATCGG